GGCGCGCCTGGTGCGAGGGCCGCGCGCGCCCCGGGGCCCTCGCCTCGCCTCGCCTCGCCTCGCCTGCTTCCCCGCGGCCCCGGAGGGAGAGGGAAGGGGGCGGCCCCGCGCCCGCATCCCGCGCCGCGCCCCGCGGGGCAGCAGGCGCGGCGCGTCCAGGGGGCGCCCTTTCCGTCCGCACGTTCGCTGCCGCGCTGGTCTCCTCGCGAGGAGGGCGATCGCCACCGCTTAATGCGACTCTGCAGCTGCGCGGCGCAAAACTGCACGGCCAGCCCCTGACCAAGGCACCCCCCCCGCGCGCGCGCAGCTCCTCTCCCCCTAAAACGAGGCTCGCCCGCGCTTGCGCTTGCGGCGTGCCCGAAGTGCCTGGGCGAACAGGGCTGTTCCCATTGCTCTCCCCCCACCCCCCCAGGACCGGTGGGCAGCGCCCGCCGTGACCCCCTCGGACCGCCTCCCTTGCGGCTGCGGGGTTTGAAAGCCCCGGCGGGCCGCGCGCTGGTGGGAAGGGCGCTTTGCCTGCGCCCCGGCGGCCTCCCGCAGCCTCGCTCCCTTTGTCCTCGCCAGCAGGAGGGCGACTTCCGGGGGCCGCCGCCGGCCTCGGAGTGGCCGGTGGGCCCGGGGGCGGAGGCGTCCACGTGGGCCCTGGTGGCGGCGCTGCAGGCCGTGGAGAGCAAGGTGGACGCCGTCGCCGTGCGGCTGCTCAGCCTGGAGGGGCGCACCGGCGCCGTCGAGAAGAAGGTCTCCGAGTGCGAGCGGAGCGAGGTGGAGCTCGGCGCCCCGCCGGAGGGCAGGTGGGCCGCCCTGGGCACCCTCGTCCAGGGCTACGGGCAGCTGCAGCGGCGGCTGGAGAGCATGGAGAACCTGCTGAAGAACCGCAACTTCTGGATCCTCCGCTTCCCACCCGGCGCCGGTGGAGACGCTCCAAAGGTGGGGAGCGGGCGCGGAGCAGGGCCGTCCCAAGGAACCGGGCGGCGCTGTGGGTGCTGGACTGCGTGGCCCCCATCCCGGGCCAGCGGCTGGGGACCCCTCGGAAGACCCGGGGGGCCGAGCTGCAGACCTGGCCTGCCTCGGCCCTTTGACTAGCTCCTCACCCAGAGAAGGGGAATGATAGTCACATATTTTGCAGGGTTTTCTTCACTGTCAGGCCTGAAGCCTGTGAAAGAGTTTGAATTAAAATGAGGCCAGTAACTCCTAAGGCCGCAACCCAAGCCACCCTTGTTCAGGAGTAAATCCCAGTGGAAGCCGTGAAATGCACTCTGTGCAGACCTGCGTGTTCTGGATTGTGCAGGAACAGCTGCTGCCACTCGGGCGGGCGCAGGAGGTGGTGACGCAGGACTCTTCCCTCCCCATATTTCGCGGCACCTGTAGGGTCTGGAGTCTTTCGGAGACTCTGCCACGCATGTTCTCCATTTGACTGTCCTCCAGCAAAACAGTCCAAATGATAATAATTAGCTGCAGCAGCACACGCTTGTTTGTGTGAAAATGTTCTTAGAAGTTTAAAGAATAGCTGTGAGCGCTCAGCTTGAGCGGCGCCTTCCGTCTGGGGTTTGATGGCGTTTTGGCTGGTGGGAATGAGATTTGGCCGTGCCCAAGAGCACGGCGATTCTGCGCTGGCCGTGGGGTTTCATTTTGTGCATTAATTCCATTTCTGCACATTTCTGAAGCTCTCCCAACAACATTTTATGCACAACAATAAAATGCAAAATCGCGATGCAATAAAACGAACAATGAAATGCACGTCGCATTTCAACATTAAAATGTACAAAATTTAAAACAGCATTTTTGGCAAATGGAGCAGTTACAACAAATCCAGGTGTCTCCACAGGTGCTTTAAAAGCCTGTGGGCAGGAAGCCGGAGGGACGGCTTCCCTCGATGGGAAAGCCCTTCTCCTGCGAAGCACGGGGGAGGCGCTTGTGGGCCCAGTGGCCCCGAACTCACGTGCAGATGCCCAAGCCAGCCGCCGGGAAAGGGCCTGGAACAGCATCCGGGTTACCTGGGAATTCTTCGCGTGTTCCGGAGTGTTTAGCACGATCGAGTGGGCAATGGCGAACGCATTTCAAATTCGGGCATCGTACTTCCCACGCACCACCCCGCAAATCTTGCAGCGGCCCTGTGAGCTCGGGCCGCCTGGGAGAGCGGCAGGCGCAGGTCCCTGGTTCAGGACGGCCCAGAAGTGCAGCAGGGGCGAAAAGCACAGCCACTGGGCCGAGGGGCTCCGAGCGGCTGGGACTGACCCCGTGCACGGGCTGCCGCATGTTTCAAGCCCCTCCCCTGGGTGCCGCCATTGACCACGAGCAGCGGGGCTCCTGGAGTTGGTTTTTGGCTTGCCGCGCCTGCTTACGGCTCTCTAGCATCTGACCCGTGTGGCTCTTCCGTTGAGCAAATCTGGCCAGCCCTGGACGAACGCCTTTCCCAGCTTGGGCCCCCCGTGCCTGATGGAGCCCCTCCCGCAGTCTGGGCCCGCCTGGAGCCCACCTGCCGAGGGAGGCCTGGGAGGTGGTAACCAGGGGAAGGGCCTTCCCGGTGGTGGCCCCTGCGTTGTGGAATGATGAGCCACTGAGGCCTAGTCGGGGTCATCGCTGTCATTTTGGGGTTCTGGCTTGAGAGCGTTATTTGCTGTTCTGCTCCCAGGGACCGAATAGCAAGTAACAGAATAGAGAGTAACGGGCAGCTCTCTTCTTCCGGGCAACTTCCTCATCGGAGCAGCATTTGGCTGCTTAAAGTGTTGTAAATGTTGTATTATCCTGAATGCATGGCTCGCCATTTCTGTGAACTGCTTGGAGAGCCTCAAGCATTGGGCAGTGCAGAAGCGAAACGGAGTCAAACGGAGCGGATCGATGCGGCTGGTGCCCCTCGTGGCTGAGCGGGGACTGGGACCCGCTGCCCTGGTGGGTGCCTGGCCAGTGGCGTGCGGTGCGCGCCGTGCGTCTCCTCAGCTCCACGCTCTCCGGCTGCGTTGGAGCAGCACTCCCGTCACTACCAGCAGCTGGCTGGGGACGGTAGGAGCTGTAGTCCAGCGCCTTGCAAGGGCAGGCAGGAGGGTGGGGCGTGCCGCTGGCCTGCCGGGCCGGTGTCCCGAGCCGGCTGGCCCGTCCTCGCGTGCTCGGCATGCCCCTGGCCCTAACCCTTTGTTGCTGCTGGGCTCCAGGTGCCGCCCGCCTCGGACGACAGCGCCAGCTTCTCCCAGGAGGAGTGGGAGAGACTGGAGGCCTGGCAGAAGCAGCTGCACGCGAGCGTGGCGAAGGGCGGCTACGAGCACTTGATCTCCCTCGGTAAGCGCCTCGCCTCGCCTCGCCTCTCGGGGGCGGCCTCTGCCGTGGCCCTCGCACGCGTGCGCCCGCCCTCTGGGGCTCTTTCCCGTGATGCGCACACCGCGAGCGCCACTCATGCGTGGGCCTTTCCGCCTTGCGCGGCTGCCCCAGAGCAAGCTGGGGATCATCGTCCTGAGCTGGTACTGCAAGGGCTGGGCTTGGACAGCCCCACAGGACTGGCGTTCCCCAGATTCCACGGGGGGGCGAGGCACAAGAGAAGGGCTTGTCCCGTGGCACGGGGGGCTTGTAGCCCCGGTGCGGGGCAGGTGCTCTCCTGCGTGTCTGGGGCAAGAGGTTAGCTGCAGCCGTTGGGTCCGATGGTGTGCCCTGTGGCTACCGAAGCCGGACTGGGGAGGGGGGCCGGGACCGCTCCGGCACCCGCAGCTACGCGTGGCAGCTTTCGTGGCTTCCGCGTCCGCCCTGGCCGAGAGCCAGGTGCCCAGCAAAGGCCAGAGACAAATCCGGCCCGGGGTGGGGGCACCGGGTGGCTTGACTGCCTCGCACACGCGGCCTTGGGCACCTCTTGAAGGGCGGGTATGAATTCCGCTTGGTAAAATACACCAGGACAACGTAAGGATGCACCTCTGCTCAAGAGTGGCTGGAAGAGGGGCGGGACCCCTTCTGCAGGGCGAACCGAGTCCCCTCTTTTTGGCAAGCCTTTGCGCTCAGCGAAAACAACGCCGCCCTCTAAACCGAGCGCTGCTTTCTCTCCCCTCCTCCTTCCCCCAAACAGACTACGCAATCGCCAAGCCAGAAATCCTGTCCCAGATCGAGCGAGGGGAACATCCGTGCGCCCACGGCGAGCACGACAGCCCTGCAAGGGAGCACCCCGGGGAGCGCTGCCTGGGTGAGGGTCTGCGGAGAGGCCTGTTCGGGTAACCGCCTGGGGGCCGTTCCAGGGGGTCCTTCACTCTGCCTTTGGGGTCCGGTTCCTTTCCCGCTCGGCAGCCTCCTTCCCCCATCCCATCCCAGACTTAGAAACATAGAAACAGAGCGAGTCAGAAGGGGTCTCCCGGGCCATCTAGTCTGACCTCCAGCACCAGCCGGTTCTGCTCACGACATGCCCACCGTGTGGACGTCCAGCCTATCCTTGAGCACCCTCACCGATGGGGCCTCAACCACCTCCCAGGGAAGCCCATTCCACGCCCTCGGGGTCCCGACTGTCAGGAAGTGCTTCCTGGCATCCAAATTGAACCTCGGCTCCCTGAGCTTGGCTCCCTTGGAGCGCGTCCTGCCTTCCTCTGCAGGGGAGAACAGGGCTCTACCCACCTCCGTGTGACACCCCCTCACATACATGACTTGATGGATTTGTGGTACCTGTGTGAGGTTGCCTAGTCCGGAAGGCACTTTCTCCGCACTTTCTCCGCTCTGGCGTCCGTCACGTGTTCGGAGTGGGGTGCTGGCTGGGGCGGGAGGAGGCTGCAGCCCGGCACCGCGCTGGAGAGCAGCAGGCAAACGAACGAACGAACGAATGCCACATGTGCTGTAGCTTTGCGCATTGCGCATTGCTTGGGGCACTTCGGATGTCAGCCGTTCATACACGTTGCTGAGTACATAACCGAAAGGAAGGAAACTGCCGGAGGGAGAGTTGTGCTGCAGTCAAAGCCACTGGGGCCCAATTCTGTGGCTGCCCGGGGTGTTTCCGGGAGCTGCAGGCCCTTCTCTGCCCAAACATGTCCAAAGACACCCGGAGAAGCTTCCTCACAGCCAGAGCAATGCGGCAGTGGGACCGGCTGCCTGGAGAGGTGGGGGGCTCTCCCGCACTGGGGACATTCAAGGAGAAACTGGACAGCCACCTGAGTGGGGCGGTGTGACGTGGAGTCCTGCAACAGCGGGGGTGGACTGGATGGCCTTCATGGCCCCTTCCAGCTCTTCTGATGTTTGATTCTAAGGTCGTGCCCTGAGTCGGCCATGGCACTGTGTGGAAAGACCCGCACCGCGTGTGTTCACGCCCGGAGGTCCCATGCTTGCGTTTTCCCCTCCTGCTTTTCGTTGGGTGCCCCCGTCTTCCAGGCTGCACACTGGCGTGTGTGTCTGTTTACCACAAAACCGAGAAGAGACCTTGGTCTGTCAAGATGAGCGCGTTCGTCCTGGCACAAGCTTTCGCGGGCCATGGCAGGCGGCTCTGCTTTGGGCCTGGGGGGCTTCGGCTTCCCCAGCCTGGGCAGTCGCTGGCGGCGGGCAGGGGCATGCGCTGCTCAGATGGGTGCTTTGCACCGCCAGACTCTCGGGAAACCCTTTGCGGAGAGCGCGCGCCCCAGTCCTGGTAGAGTTCAGGAACTGGCGGCAGCCCCGAACCGACTCCCTCTTGCTGCAGGAGCCACCGCTTCCGCCTTCGAAATGGCCTCGCAGATCAAGCAAGAGATGGACCCCTTCGGTGACATGGAGGAGGAGGAGGAGGAGGAAGAGGAGGAGGAGGGGGACAGCCGGGCAGACGCTGGAGGGGAAACCAGCTCAGGTGGGTGACCAGCTTATTTTATTTTATTTTTATTTATTGATTGATTTATATCCTGCCTTTTTCCTACAAAGGGCTCAAGGCAGGTACATCTCCTCCATCTTATCCCCACAACAACACCCCTGTGAGGTAGGCTGGGCTGAGAGTCTGTGACTGGCCCAGAGTCACCCCGTTGGCTCTGTGGCTGAGCGGGGACTCGAACCCAGGTCTCCTGAGCCCCAGTCCCAGGCTCTGGACCACTGCACCACACGGGCTTAGAGGGACTTGGGGTGCTTTCTGGGAAGCCAGCCAAGCTGCCGCAGAAGTGAGCCTGTGCTTGCATCCCGGCAGGGCCCCCGACTGCCCTTCTGGGAAGGGCTTTTAAATGCCTCCAGAACAGGCAAAAGCGGGGGGCAGGGGGGCATTGCCTGCAGTGCCTACAGTGTGAACCCCCCCCCCCCGGTGCAGGGGGGGAGTGACGGGGGGGGGCAGGTTCATGGGGGGGGGATCTTTGCCTTTCCCTCCCCCAAAAGAAGGAAAACCCGGGGGGTTAGCAGGGGGGGGGCCCCCCGGGCCCCCCCCCCCCACAATTTGCGCCGTGGCCCCTTCAGCCCGCCCTGGCCGGGGGCCACCGGGCCCTTCTCGGAACCACACAAGGATGGGACCCGTCCCACCGTCCGCCGGGCCCTTTTCCTGCTTCTGGCTCTCCCTCTCTGTGCTTCGTGGGTTGAGGGCCCCTTTCCTTTGTCCTGGCCCAGAAATATTACAGGGCCCCCCCCCCGCCGCAATCTGGGCCCCTCTGTGCTGATGGAGGATGATGGGCATTGTGGCCCATCACACCTGGAGGGGCCCAGGCTGGCAGGGGCTGCGCCGGCAGCTGCATCGCAGCATTGCTGCCAGTTTGACACCCCCCCACAACGCAAGAGCACCCCCTTCCCCTTTGCCATGGCCCTGCCCGCAAGGGAGCTCCCCTCGCTCAATTCACACATTCGCTCCCCCCTGGCCTGCCCCATTTCCATGTGGGGTGCTGCCTTTCCCCCGTCCACCCTCCTCTGGTCATTCCCACACTGCTTTCTCATCGTTCCAGTCCTTCCGCAAATTCCCACTTTCGGCCAGGCCCCTGCACACACCGCCTTTCTCGCCCCCCACAGGGTCAGCCTTCGACTGTATTCTCCTGGGGGCAGGGACCTGTTGGCTTCGCAAGAGGCAGGAGTGCTTTCTGTTCTCACCGGCGGCTTTTTCGTGCCTCGGTCGTCCAGGACGCCTGCATGCGCCCACAGTCGGCCTCGCACCTGGGAGGGCTTCGCAAGACCTCCTCCGAGGGTCCTGAGCGAGGTCACCATTAGGCCGGGGGGGGGGAGCACTGGGGAGCCCGGGAACTTGCTCGCTGCCCTTCGGCTCGTGGCGGTTCTGCTTTCGGCTCCATCAAGTGCCCTCTGCACCCGGCCCCACGTGGCTTGCGGGTCCCCTGCTCACAAGCGGGTTAGTCTGCATGCCGCCGCAGCCTCAGCGATTGCCCCCCCCCCCCCCGCGGGGCCCCCCAGCCGGGGGCCTCCCCGCCCCGCCCCCCCCCCCCCCCGCAACCATTCCCGGCTCTAGCAGCTTCTCCAGAGCGAAGCGGGCCGCCTTGCCGCACGATCAGAGCAGAGTCCGTCGAAGCCACGTTTCTGTCCCCACACTGGCCAACTGGCTACCCATGGGAGCCCACGGGCACCAGCATGGCACTCTCATGCCCATGTTCCCCAGCGATGAGTGTACGTAGGCACACTCCTCTGGCCCCCGAGCTCGCAAATGGCCAACAGGGCCTGCAGCTTCTCCACCACCATCCATTTCGCAAAGCCCATTACAGCCCTCGGGTGGGAACAGCTGCCATTTGAAAGGAGTCATTCTGGGAAGTTCGTCCGCATCCATTTTAATGTGCTCAGTGGTACATTCATTTTTTAATACAATGCCCATGTGTCAGGGGAAAGCCCCTTTGTAACTAGCCGAAAAGGACGTTGTCGCTTTAATCTCTGTTGTTGTGACATGTTGTCGAGCGGCGATCCTGCGAACGCGGGCTCAGCTCTTGCAAACTGTTTATCCCTACTAGGAAAACCGTCTGCTAATTTTAGAACATGTGAACTTTTCTATAGTGTTACCTAGGAAGAACAACTAAACTACGACGGTGGTAAAAATCTAAAGAGCATCCATAGAAAATTGCACGGGAAAGGGGAAGTGTCTCGTGGCGGTTTCAGTGGAGTATTTTGGCCCAGCGTGGCGCTGCGGGCAGAGTGGTGCCTTTAACAGTGACGGCTGTTCTGATTGCAGTTGACGGCTGGCTGCTGAACCCAAGAGCGGGTGGCTCCGGAGAGCCGGAGTGCCCCTGGACGTCCGCGGAGAGGACGGAGGAGGCCTTCCCGCCCGAGGAGAGCGGCTGCAGCAGTCCGGGGCCCGAGCAGGCTTTGGGGTTCCCCGCACCCACCACCCCCGGGATTCCGGAGAGGGCGAGCCGGGCCGGGCCCGCCGGGGCTCCGCCGGAGCAGCCGTTCCTCTGCCACGACCGCGGGCGCTGCCCGGGCCGCGGGGAGCTCCTCGCCCGGCCCGGGCGCCCCCCCGCCGGCGAGCGGCCCTACGCCTGCCAGGAGTGCGGCAGGGCCTTCGTGCACCAGTCGACGCTGACCGCACACTACCGCACGCACACGGGCGAGAAGCCCCACGCCTGCGCCGAGTGCGAGAAGCGCTTCGCCCGCCTCTCCACCCTGCTGGAGCACCGGCGGACCCACACGGGCGAGAAGCCCTACGCCTGCGCCGAGTGCGGGAAGCGCTTCAGCCGGCTCTCCACCCTGGTGGAGCACCGGCGGACCCACACCGGCGAGAAGCCCTACCAGTGCGCCCGCTGCCACAAGAGCTTCACCCGCCTCGCCAACCTGACGGTGCACCAGCACACGCACGCCGGCGAGCACCTCTACGGCTGCACGCGCTGCGGGAAGCGGTTCCCGCAGAAGGCCGGCTTCCTCAGGCACCTGCGCGGCCACGCGCGGGAGCAGCTGTACCAGTGCCAGGCCTGCCCCGAGCGCTTCGCCTGCCCCTCCGGGCTGCTCCGGCACCAGATGGGCCACCTGGGCGGGGGCCCCGAGAGCCTCGCACCCCCGGGGGCCCGGGCCGTGGAGCGCCCCTTCCCGTGCCCGGCCTGCGGCAAGGCCTTCCGCTCCCAGCAGGGCCTCCGGCTGCACCAGAGGAGCCACGCCGCTGGCATGGGGGCCAACCGGACGCTGCCACGCGTGAAAACGGAGGACGTGGGGTGAGAGGGGGGCCCCCCAGCTCCCTTCCGCGGGCCCTTTTCTTGAGGCCGGGCAATGTTGCTGCGTGGCCCCCGCGAGCCTGGGCACCCTTCCCCGGCAGGGTTGCCTGCCCTGGCAGCCGGTTCTGCCGCCCAGAACCCCACGAGGGATCTTGGCGGGGCCATCTGTGGGGCGAGGGGAGCACCCGGACGCCCCGCATGCTGCATCGCTCCCACGGCCCGTCTGCCCCTCCCCCGCCTTTCCCCTGTCAGTGTCCCCCAGTGTGTTGGACTGCAACCCCCATCATTCCCAGCCAGCTGGCTGGGAATGATGGGGGTTGCAGTCCACCAGCTCCGGAGGGCACTGGCTGGCTTGTCACCCGGGGCTCCCAGAACCAGCACGGACAGCCTGGGACCTCTGAGGAACTGGGCCACTGACCTTCCCCAAGCCAGCCGCCCTGCATGGCACACACACGGCCCCCAAGTCCCCTTGGTCCCCGGAGCTTGGCCTGGAGGCAGCCTCTGCCCTGCGGACTCGAGAGAGAGCTCCTCCAGTCTTCTGGAAGCTCAGCTCATGGAAGTGGCCTCCACCAAACATGCGGGGGTTCGCCCCCCACCCCCCGCTGTAGCTGACACCACCTAGCGGGGACTCCCAGCTGCTCGTGTCGGGTTCAGGGTGGGATGAGGGGCCTGCAGCAGCTGCTTTGGGATGGTGCAAATAGGCAGAAGTTTGCTTTTGCCAGTCTTTTCGGGCAACTAAATCTGGTGGAATTAACCGGCGAGTTGGGCATGTGTCTGGGACCTGTTAACTTGTTGTCCGACTTGGAGTGCTGAAAGAACTCAAATGTTACATCATGGCCTTCTTACAAAGGTGCACAACATTTCCCCAAGATCAGCCTTTGTACGAGAGGCCTGGAGAAGGGCCAACATAACACCGATTTTTACAAAAGTGACCTGAGGTGTGCGAGGCGATGAGCTTAATGTCTGTTCAGGGCGCTTGGTGGAAAGTGTGATCAGAGGAGGACTCCGCAGGGGCAGAGAGGGACAAGCCCGGCTGCAACCGAACCGGCACGGCTCCTGCAATCCTGCCTCCCTAACCTATGAGTCCTTTGGACGGGGCGATCCGGGAAGCGTCGTTTACTCGGCCTTCCAGACACGTCTGACAAAGTCCCTTGCCAAAGGCTCCTGAGCAAACCAAGCCATTGCATCCTAAAAGGAGTGCAGCGGGGCCCCTTATGGGTCAGGAACTGGTGAACGAGTGGAAGGCAGACCGGGAGTGAGTGGCCGCTTCTCCCGGCGAGGGGTGCAAGCAGCCGTCCTGCAGGCGTCGAACGGGACCGAGGCTTTTCAACCGATTCAGAAACTATCTGGGGTTAGGAGGCAGTCGGGGTCGCTGCTGGCACCAAGCTGTTCAGGGTGGCAAACACCAAAAGGGATTGTGAGGCGCTGCAGAGACGACCTGGACCTGCTGCCCCCCCCCCCCCATGGCTGCCCTCCATCGCCCAGAGAGATGGAAGGGGCAGCAAGAGCAGCTTCCCATGCGAGGTGGGGACGTGGTCTCCCAAGGGGACCCTCGGCGACAGCTGGCCGATCCACCGGAGCTGAACGAGAGCAACTTTCTCCTGCTGCGAGCACCAGACCAAGAGTCCCGAGGACCCAAGATTTTGTCCGATGCAGCTTTAAAGAACGCGCCCTGCATCCTGATTTGCTTGCCAAGGGAAATCCAGAGGTTTCTAAGCCACATGGAGGGCAGCGCCTACCTTGATGGCCCCTTCTCAGCCCACCCAAAAGGCCCTCTGCATGTGCTCAAGTGAGGCCTTGCCTGTGGCCGCTCCAGGCATGAACCTGGTCATGAGAGAGGCTTCAGAGCAAACCCCGGTGGCTCTGGCCCGTTTCCAGCTTTTGGGAGGAGGTGCCGTTTGATTCTCTGCTGGGGGCGCCGCTTGGTGGTGCTTCCGGACCAGAAGCTGGCCAGTGAAGGCAGAATCTCGGGGCTGAGGCTTTCTCGCGAGGAAACGCTGAGCTGTGGCCATGCAGCCACGCGCGCCACTGAAAACCCGGAGTTCCTATCGCGGCCGCCTCCCACGGAAGGCAAGCTCGCCGGTATTCCTGTTTTGCCAATACAAAGCGTCTACTGACAACGAATCAGCTGTGCTGCCGGTTTCTCTCCGAATTCCATGCTCTGGGAATCTGGTGGCTGGCCGGGAAGGGGGGCCGCAGTCCCGCACCCTGGAGAGCACGCTCTGGGGAAAGGCTTGCTGGCGTGGGCAATGGCAGGGCCTTTCCGACATTTGGCCTGCACCTCCCATCAGCCCCAGCCAGCATAGCGAGTACTGTGGAGTCACGGGTGCTGCAGGGCGAGGCATCGGGTGGGTGGGAGGACAGGGGCCCCTCCTGGGTTAAAAGCTTTGGCCTGCCAAGCCCCCGGAGCAGCACAGGTCCCGGCCACCCTTTTCGCCAGCCGTGGCTCATCTCTGCCCTCCGCCACACGGCCTGCTCCACCCCCCCTTCCAAGTCCTGGAAAGGAAAGTACACCCAGACCACTGTTCCCCAGCCTTGATCTGTGGGACTGTCACTCCCATCATCCCTAGCCCCCATGGCGCTTTCTGCCCATTCCAAAGGCAGGTTTTAGGGTGGGCTCCAGTCTTTCGCCCTGAAAGGCACACGCAGGCTATAGAGCAACTATCCAGGGAAGGATACAAAAAATTTAATTAATGCTTCCCTCTTTCTTTGTAAAAGCTAAAAAGTGGAACCGCCATTTCTGCAGTTGGTGCTGCTGGAAAAAAGAAAACGTCCCAGGCCAGGCTCTGGTCCCCAGGGCGCTGCTCCCGCTGCAGCGGAGCCTTGGGGCCGAGGCAGCGGCCGGGGATTTGGGCCGTGTGTCCGGAAAAACCTCGGCCAGCGCCTCCAGCAACCCCCTCCATCTTTGGCTTCTTGGGCTGCTGCGCCTCCCCCTGGGCTCCCTCCAGCGCCCTTTTGGCCAGCGACGCAGCGGGGCCAGGGGGAGCAGGGGGCAGCCCTCTTGCTGTGGGGCGCAGGCCGAGCGGCCAGGCCCGGGGAGCCCTCCAGCCCGGACAGATTCCCTCAGAGCGGCTGAGTGGGCGGGGGGCACAGTCGACAAGAGGGAGGCCCCCCCCCCCCCGGGGCACAGAACAAGGCCGGTGGCGCGGTGTGTTCCAGGCAAGCTGTCCCAGAGCCGGCAAGGTTGGCGGTGGGCGCCCGGCCGGCCAGGCACCGACTGAGCAAGGAGCGCACGCCGGAGCGGTGCCCTGCCTGCGGGAGCAAAGGCTGGAAGTGCCCCGGGGAGGCCCGGCCGTTTGGCAAGCAAATGATTGAGGGAGCTGTCGGCTGGCTGGCTGCCCCGCGTGCCATGGGGCTTGGGGGGGCTTGGCCCCTCTCTGGACAGAAGCAGTGCAGCTGCCCCCAGCTGGTGCAGAGCCCTGGTCCGCATCGCCCGGGGGGCTGGCCCTGTGGCTCCCGGGGCCCTTCTCAGCTGGGATGGGGGCTGGGCCCAAGCCCTGCCCCACAGCCCCAGCCCAGGAGCACCCGCTCCCTGCTTGCCTTTGGGCCACACTGGACGCTGCCGCAGGCCGGCGAGAAAGCTCCCTGGGACCCGGTCTGCTTGGGGTTCTGCGCCCCTCCGTCTCCCGTGCGGGCCTGGAAGACTCGGTTTTGTGCTTTTTAAGGGGCCCTTTCCGCACTTCCCCAGGCAAAGTGCTCGACAGCCTCTTGTCCTTGTGGGAGGCCCGTGTGGCAGGTGAGGCCGAGGGGGGCGGGCGAGCGGGCGGAGACTGACCCACCTGCGCTCACGCAGCGGCCCGTCCAAGCTGCCGGGCATCAGACGGCAGCCTGGCTTCACTCCCCCAACCCACACACCTCCGCTCAGTTCCTGTGAACACCTGCATCGCGCAGGTAAGGCTCGTCTTCCGTCTGCTCTGGACAGGTGTGGCAGGACGCCGGGAGTGCCCGAGGGGTGCCGGAGCAGGCAGCCGCTGGCCGACGTCTCGATTTTGCCCGCCAACGAAATCCCACGGAAAGGCAGTTTGCTGTAGCAACTCGGGAGCACTCCAGACCGTCGCAGCCGCCCGAGCATCGGGTCTCGGGGGGCAACCGCAGCCCCCGCCCGGGAATGCCTCACCCGCCGGCCCCCCGCCAACCCTGGCGGAAGCGTGGCCGACGACGAGTCCAGACGGGCCCAAATGTCTCCAACCGATTCGCCGCCCCGTTCCTCGGCCCGCCAACGCATCCCCGGGGGCGCTTCCGCGTCGGCCCGTCCTCAGGTCCCGCTGGGAGGGGAGGCTGGGAAGACGGGCGCCTTCTCCGCAGCGGGGCTGCCGGGCGCGAGGGCCTGCCCCGGGCCGGCCGCCTCCGGGGGCGGCTGGGGGTCCCCGTGGCTGCGCAGGTGCTGCTTGAGCGACTGCTTGTAGCGGAAGCGCTTGCCGCAGCGGGGGCAGGCGTAGGGGTTCTCGCCGGTGTGCATGCGCTGGTGCTCCAGCAGGTACTTGCGGCGGGCGAAGGTCTTGAGGCACTCGGTGCAGCGGTGGCGCCGCTCGCCGTTGGCGTGGCCGGCCTGGTGGCTGACGAAGGCCTGGGCGTGGCCAAAGCTCTGCCCGCACTCGCGGCAGGCGTACAGCTTGGCCCCGGCCTGGTGCACGCTGCTCTGGTGCTTGACCAGGTGGTGCGCCCGCACGAAGCGCTTGTCGCACTGCCCGCAGCGGTAGGGGCGCTCGCCCGTGTGGATGCGGTAGTGGTTGGTCAGCTTGGACTTCTCGGCGAAGCGCTTCTCGCACTCGGGGCACTGGTAGGGCTTCTCGCCCGTGTGGGTGCGCGAGTGGTCGTCCAGGTGCTGCTTGCGGATGAAGGTCTTGCCGCACTGCGGGCACTGGAAGGGCCGCGGCCGCTCGCGGTGCGTCTTCTGGTGCACCACCAGGCTGGACTTGCGGTTGAAGGCCTTGTGGCACTCGGGGCACTGGTGGGGCCGGTCGGCGTGCACGGCCCGGTGCCGCGTGAGCTGCCCCTGGTGGCTGAAGCCGCAGCCGCACTCCGGGCACACGAAGGCGCTCTCGCCCTTGCCCGCCGCGTGCGTCTTCTGGTGGATGAGCAGGCTGGTCTTGAGGCGGAAGCTCTTGGGGCACAGCGAGCAGGCGTGCGGCCTCCCCGCGGCCTGGGGGAACGCCGGGTCGCCCGGGCCGCCCTTGAAGTCCGGGCCCGCGAAGGGGTCCGTGGCCGGCGGGCCGCCAGGCTCGGCCAGCGGCACGGCCCCGTCGCCGAGCACCCCCTCGCCCAGGTGGGCCCTCTGGTGCAAGGCCAGCTGCTGCTCGCAGGGGAAGGGCTCCCGGCACTTCGGGCACTGCAGGGGCTCCGGCCCGGGGCAGGCCTCGGGCGGGGGGCCCTCGCGCTCCCTCTGGGCGGCCTCTTCCGGCCTCTGGGCGAGCAGGGCGGCTGTCTGCCCCGGGGGGCCGTGGCCTTGCGCCTCGCAGGGCGCCTCCGGCTTCGGGACACGGAAGACGTCTTCGCCGGGGAGCCCGGGCAGCATCCCGTGGCCGGGCAGGGCTGGGGTGGGCGCCCCCCGGAGGGTCTGCCCCTCGCTCTTGATCAGCGTGCTGTCATCTGAAAGGGAACTTGTGACCGTCAGCACACCCCACTGGGAGGAGGCGAGGGGGCGGAAGCCCGGGCCCAGCGCTGCAGCCACGCCGCGGCCAAGGAATTGCCCCGGCCCGAAACAGAAGCATCGTGGCTCTTCCGGAGAGGCCAGTCTGGCCAGGACACCTTCCACCTGAGCACGCACAGGGCCGCCCCGAGAAATGGACTGGTTCGCTCTCTCAATGCTATTTTCTCTGTCAATGAATGTTTGCTTTTTGGGGGCACATTGAGAACACGAGTTCCATTGCAGACAAGGCACTCAAAGGACTCCGGCTATGCTGGAGGCCGAGTCCCCGGAAGCGCGGCAGAATTAATCTGGGGGAGAAGCCCACGAAAAGAGTGGCACGCGGCCCGTCTGGCGGCAGGGTCAGCGCGGCCGGGCGCCTGCCGAGACCCCTGGAGTGGCTCCTCGCTGCGGCCCGGCACCTGCTCCCGTCCCCTCTGCCCCTTGGCCAGGCCGCAAGGGCAGCGGGGGGGGGGGGGGGCTTGCGGGGGGTCCCAAAGCCCACAGCTGCCCTGTGCAGGGCTGGGGGACATCCATCTCCAGAGCCGCGGCAGAGGGCCGGGGGGCCACCAGAGCCGTGTCTGCTGGCACTGGGAGTCTCCCCGTCAGCACACGGGGCTGGACGTTGGCCGTGGGTCGTGGTCACGAGCTCCCTGAACGCGCTGGGCTGGCCGCAGGCCATTTTGGGCCACCACTGCCGGAGAGGCCCATGTGCCTGAGCTGCAGGAGGCTCGGTCCAGATGCCCCAACTTGGCACCATAGCCATCTTGACAGGGATGATGGTGGCTGTAGTCCAGCACACTGAGAGGGTGCTACGTTGGGGGACTAACGCAGTATGGGGGTGCCTCGGATTACAGAAACGACCGAGATTAAATGGCCATGGAAAGATAAACCGGTGGTTTGGAAATGGGCCAGCACCGGGAGAACCCAGTGAGAGGCCGCTCCGGAAAGCAGGGCACTCACCGTAGCCCAGGGCGTGGGGGATCCCTCTCCCCAGGTCCCACTTCCCCTTGCCGAGGGGCTCTTCCTGCTTGATCCAAGACAAGAGGTCCTCCTTGGACGCCAGGGGCTCCATGTCTGGAAAGAGAGGCACAGGCTGCACCGGGGGCGCCGGGCGCACCCACGTCCTACAGGCAAGCTGCAACGCGGCAACGCAGGGGAGCCAAAATCCGGCAGGGCGGAGGCTGGCGAGGCGAGGGGAGGCGGCCGTTCCCCTGGGAAGCCCCGGCCAGCAGGCTCGGCCACGGAGTCCGCGGCCCAGCCGCCTTCCACCAGCCCCACCCGCTGCGCCTCTGCAGCTGGGAGTCCGTGCTGGAGTCCGACATTCCAGGACACGGGCGCTGGGCACTGCATGGGCACCGTGGCCCATTCATGCAGGACAGCCGCCCAGCCCGGAGCCCCCTGGTGCAGGCAGAGCGCCCCACCTGCGGAACTCCTGCCGGGCATCCGGAGGGCCGCCGCCTGCTGGCGCGGCCCCTGCGAGGCCAGATTCAGCCCTCCAGTCCCTCGGGGAGGCCGGCGGTGCTCTGGGGACCCACGGCCCTTGCGCCCCCCCCCGTTTCCACACTGCAGCTCAAGTCGGCGCTTTCTTGCAAGGGCCACAAGCTGTGCGGCCGTGCCGGGTCCGCTCAGGAGGAGGCCCATCGGCTCAGGAGGAGACGCTTTCGCGGCTTCGCTCCCCGGCCCGGATCCCACGCACCTGTCCTGGGCTCCGCGGGAAAGCCCTTGTCCCCCACGAAATCCTGGTCCGCCATGCGGGGGGGCTCCGCTTGCTCCATCGGGGGGAGAACGTCGCCTTTGGAGATGGCGGCATCTGTGTCGATGGATCAGAGAGCAAAGTCGGCCAGGGCAGGGCAGCCTTCCCAACTCACCTCTCCCGACAGGCTGAACGGGAGTCGCCCTCCAACCAGTCCGGGGGGCGCCAGCAGAGGGTGGCAAGCGGGGACGCGGGCGAGCCCCCGGTGGGACATCTCGGGGGCCATTTCTGGGTGGAAGGTGACGCAGGAATACCTTTCTGAAGCAAAATCACATGCTGAAAACAGACCCCCAAATGGGGGCGGGGGAGGCCTGGGCCAATGCTGGGCAACCAGGAGTGTCTCACTGGCATGGCGAGGGGAAGAACCAGGGGGCACAATGTGGGGGTGGGGTGGGGTGGGGGGCCAGCCACGGGGAACGGGGCCACCGCGCTGAGTCCCTTTGCAGCGTTTCCCCCAGCAGCCTCCTTCCATGCCCAGACAAACACCCAGCACGCTCGCTCCACCAGCACCGGACGCGCTCATCTCGGAAGCTGCAAGAGCACGGCACAGCTGCCGGGGGGCCTGTGCCTTTCCTGGGGAGCCGGGACACCCGCCCATCAGAGGAAACCGCCCTTGCTGGCCCCCGGAGCCATGCCCCTCACCGCACGGGGATGGCTGACCCCCCAGCAGTCCCGTACCTTGATTCAAGGCGCGCGAGGGGCCACGAGGACATTTGGGGCTGTCCCCGGAGACGAGGGGTCCAGTCCCTCACGCTGGCCTGGAAGTTCCCCTTCAGATTTACAACCTCAAGGAATCGGGGGGGGGGGGGGCGGAAAACAATTCCTAGGCCAGGCTCAAAGCAGGATGGGTTGCTGCCCTTGGTAAACTGAGGCACGTGCAGGCTCCATCCCCCACTTCCGCACAATTTCAGCCTCCCGGTTTTCGGAGGAATCGGGGGTTCGCCACTTGCTGTCCCCACCTGAGCCTCGGGGAGCCCTTCACACAAATGGCCACGCAGCTTCTCCCGGGGCGCTGCTGCAGCCACACACCCAGGGGCTGAGCAAAGACGGGGCGCATGCGCACGTCCGGCCAGAAAAGCAGCCCCCGCCTCTCACCCAGCGAGACCAGCGGCTCGTAGGCCCCCCTGGTGATGTTCCTGTACAGCTCCTTCTGCCACTCCTCCAGGCTGGTCCACTCCTGGGCGGAGAAGTTCACCGCGTCGTCAGAGAAAGTCACAGGGACCTGCAAGCAGAGGCACGTCACCGCTGCAGCCGCCCCGCCCCGGAGGGAAGCCGGACCGGACGCCACCCGCGAGCCGCACAGCTGGGCGGCGCCAGGTTGGGGAGGGTCCCTCAGACGGGGCGGGGTGCCAGCAAGGCAGGCTTTGGACCTGGGCTCCCAGAAGGCCCGGCCCGCGGGAGCTGAAGCCACGGCAGCAGGCACTCCCCTCCGAGGCAACGCCCGGCCAACGCGGCCACGGGCAGCTGCTGGCACGGGGAAGGACACGGGTCTGCTGCTGCCGTGACCAGCATCCTCGCGGGCCCCGGAGCGCGCCCAGGCTGCCCCCGGCCCAGCTCTCCCCAGAGGAACCCCCCACGCACAGGAGCGTCAACTCCCACAGGGGGATGGCTCGGGCCAGCGGAGACAGCAGGCTCTCCCGGCCCCCCGGCCGAGAGGGCTGAGCCTCCCCCTGTGCAGACCCCCCTCTGCCCCCTCGAACAGAAGTGGGGTCTGGGGCAGCCTCGCACGCATGGTGACCGCCAGCGGCCTTGCCCTGGAGCGTGAGGGGAGCCGCAGCAGACACCTCTGAAGGGCGCCACGGGGGAGGCCACGCAGTGCCGGGGCCCACGTCACGCCCGTGCCCATCCGGCCCGCAGGTCTCTGCGTTTACCTTGGGAGTCTCCCCCTTGGGGCCCAGGGGCAGCCGGAGGATCCAGAAGTTGCGGTTCTTCAGCAGGTTCTCCATGTTCTCCAGCCGCCGCTGCAGCAGCCCGTACTCCTGGATGAGGGTGCCCAGGGCGGCCAGGTGGTTGCTGAACTCGAGCTCCGTCTTCTCGCATTCGAAGATCTTCTTCTCAGCCGTTGCCGTCCGCCCTTCCAGGTTCAGCAGCCGGGCGGCGTAGGAGTCGACCTTGCGCTCCACCGCCTGGATGGCGGCCACCACGGTCCACAGGGAGATCTCGGCGGTCGGGTAGATCTCTCTCTCGGCGGCTTGGTCAAAGAGGGCGGGGGGCTGGAACGACGCCAGGTGCTGGGGCTCCACGTCCCACTCCCAGGCCTGTGGGCAAAAAGGGATCCATTCGGACTGTGGCCAAGTGATGCGGCTTGGTGAGGAAGGCCTGGCAGGGGCCAGCTGGCAAGAGGCGCCCAAGGGAGATCAGCAGGGGAAAGGGAGGCCAAGGCAGGGGAGGGACCGATGGGTCATGGGGCAACAGACGCAGCTCCCCAGGCCTGCTGCCCTCCCTATTGGTTAGAAACATAGAAACAGAGTGAGGCAGCAGGGGTCTCCCGGGCCATCCAGTCTGACCCCCGGCTCCAGCCAGCTCCGCTCATGACATGCCCACCATGTGCATGTCCAGCCTAGCCTTGAACACCCGCACCAATGGGGCCTCACCCACCTCCCCTGGAAGCCCATTCCATACCCTGGGGGTCCGAATCGTCTGGAAGTACTTTCTGACATCCCAACTGAACCTTGGTTCCCTGAGCTTTGTTGGACTGCAACTCCCAGCATTCCTTGCCAACCCACGTGGGAAGGTGCCAGGGAGGAGACTGAAAAAGCCCGTATCGCATAATCCCAAGTCCAGCAGGAGCCTGGTGCTGGTTCATCCACTCCTGTTAATTCGTGAGGTCTTGCTCTTCTATTTAGCATTTATAAGTCACTTACATTAGGAGACTTTTCAAAGTGGGGTAGAAAACAATACAGTGTAAGATCATGCTTATTTACAGAAGGCAAGGTTATCTTTCTAAGAATGCGTGTTGGAAAGAATCTGCTTTCAGTGGGCTGAAAACCCCAGAGAGATGCTTGTTCTCTGATCTGACTTGGCATGGAGCTCCGGGGTCAGGGGGCACGAGGATACTCATGGCCTCATTCCAAATGATGACAGGGCAGATCTGCCCCCAGGAAGGTGTCACCGAAGAGTGTGGTGACCAAGCAAGCTCTCGGGGGCCTCTCGCCCCGGCCTGGGGCTGCTTCGGCCTTTTGTGAACAAGCACCAGACTGCCAAAACCCAGCGTGGCAGCCAAGAGGCAGACCGTGTCATTCCACCAGCATGGATACGGCAGACTGACAGGCCGTCTGAATCCAGACATGCGCAAAAGCTTCTGCTCTCAGGGGCGCCCCATCGCCGCCGCATCTTCCAAGCAACGGCCTGTATGGAGACAGACACGCAGCTTCTGTCTGGAGATGGGGAAATGAGCGGTTCTGGCAGAAAGCGGCTCGTAGCCGGACCGCTGAGCATTCTGCACCTCGGCCCGCTTGCTTGGCTGGGTCAGCTGGAGCGCTGCACCGTCCCTCCAGCAGATCCCCTGTGCTGCGACTGTACGATCAGCTGCACCACGCAGGGAGAGAGGATTCCTCTGTCTGTCTGACCTCTAGATTGTCCAACAGCTGCTGAAGCTCTCAGGGCAGCTGATGGCCACGATACAGCCGGAACCACCATCCCTTTCCATAGTGCAAGATTTTAAAATCCCACGTTTAAACATTTGGGTGACGGGGAATCCTGCCTAGGTGCGAGGAAGGGTTGACCTTCCTGGCCTTCTAAGCCTTCTTGCCCCAGGAAGGAGCTGGTTTGTGGGAGCAGGCAGGACTTCTGGCCCTTCAGAGTCTCCACTGCGTGAGGCAGAAGAGAAGTTGCAAACATCCCCCAGCAAAAGGCACCAGTGCCCAGTCCGGCCCGTGCTCCGAAGGACACGCAAGCGCATCTGGTCTGGCCTGCTTACTGGGATGCGCTTTTGTAACCTTTCTGCCGTTTCTTTGGGTCTGGAGTGAGCATGTGACATGCTCATGCATGCTTTCTTTAACTGCTTAATCATACAGGAATTGTGTTATGTGTTATTGATCGAGAGAATGCCTCTCATAAATGAACCAATAGGGCTGAAATGGGGCTGCGTTTTCTGGGGGTGTCAATTAAAACAAACACACAGGCATTTTCTGTCGTGTAAACTAAACTCTGCACCAAGAGGAAGCAAAATGTCGCAACCTTTGTGACATGAGGTGGCCTGGTCCACAGGAGGAAGAGCATTTTGGGGGACCATCCTGGCCAAGGAATGCTGGAAACTGTAGTTTTTTCTGTCTGAACGGAGTGTCAAATCTCCAGCCCAGTGGGAAACAAACTCATTCCTTCTCCAGAGAATTAGGCACTGCTCACCCACCCTGAAATCATTAAAGCCGGAATTGTTGGAATGCCGAATGCCATGCGTTTCACTCCTGTGCGTTCCGGTCACACGACTGCCCTCATCGGTGGGCAGGACGACACCTTCGATGCCATCCGTAAGGGGGTCCAAACGGTGCCGGCACCTGGACCGGCTTGCCCGCTGTCCTGGAACTATGAAACCTCCGTAGGGAGGGACACATGGCCCAGGACCCCCTTCTGGAGCGCTGCGATGCCTCGAGAGCACCTGAGAATCCCCTCTGTCCGTCCCTTCGTCTTTGCCCGGCGGTGGGCGGCCCTCTCCTCCCGGCAGTCGTTTCCCCGAGGAGGGCTGCCGGACCCCTGCGCTGCGGCTCCCAGCGGGGTGGAGAGACCCGGCGAGGCGGAGGGCACACCGAGCCACCTTGCACCGGCCGATCCAGCCCAGCCAGGCCTGCCGTCGCCCGCAGCGGCTCCCCGGCGTCCCCCACGAGATGCTCTTGCCCCCCTGCTCCGTCCAACTGGGGCGGCCCCGGCCCCCCCTCCCCGGTCCTCAATCCGCCAAGGCTGCGGGACTTTCCGGAAGGCAGATTGAGGTGGGACATCAGGGAAGCCCCTCCTGGGCCCACAGTCAGGCGGCGCAAGCGGCTGCTCGGGGCTGGGGGCTCCATGTCTCGGGGGCGAGGGGCAGGGAGGGGCAGCCGGGAGCCGGATTCTGCGGGGGGCAGCGGCCTGGCCTCCCTGCCCCCCCCCCACCCCTGGGATTCTGCAGCTGAGCCCTGGCACTCCTGCGCGCGAGGCGCGTGAGCCGGGCTCGCACTCTGCACATGCTCGCCGGCACCCTATGCGGCGCCCCACTGGGCACGCTTCCAGCGCCGAGAGGCGCTCCCTTCGCACCCCCGCCCCACGCAACGCGGCGGCCCGGGTGGCCCCTGCCCTCCGCAGCAGGCCCGAGGCCAGCCCGCCGCCCCCGCCGCGGGTCCAGCCCCCGGGCCCCCGCGCCTGGCCGGGCCCGGGCCCCGCGCC